TCAAATGTCTTGTGAACCAATTTTAGCTATTAAACTGTTTAGTCTTTTTCTTTTGCGTTACATTTTTATTTAAAAAAAAAGTAATAAAACACTTCAATTGCTAACGTAAGTTTGTAAGAGATTATAATTTTTATGAATAAGCGTGTAAATAATCACTTTTATTTAAGAGGCTGCACTGACTTCATACTGACATAGCTGGAAAATTTATTTATGCAACTTAGTAGACATACCAATACAATAAAATGAATTAATATTCATAGTGTTGTCCAAAATATAGATTTTTATAGTGTACAATTTTCAAATTCAATGTAGTTGTTGCATAGATTTCATTATTACAATTTTTTTGTTCGAAGTGACGCGGGCCTGACAGAACGCTAAAAAGGCGCGCGGGTGTATCGCACTGGCTTGGCACCTGTAAATAAACTCCGATATAATCTTCTAAGACACATAAACGTAATTTAACGTAAATACGAGCCTTCGATGGGAGCCCTGAGGACTATTAGGTGGAGATGTTCGAATTACATACACGTTTTGTTACTTTGAATGGATCGCTGGAATGTTAGTGGCCAGTGCCATAAACGTAACTTAGTTTATATCTTTATATCTTTTCAACCGTCTTCAAAAGGAATGATGTTTTATTATACTTATATGCTTTTGTGTGTAACGTGGTATATTGGCCAATTGTAATTTTGAAACCTAGATATTTTTTTCTTTATTTTTTTTTTTTCATTTTATAACCGTTTAGTTTTTGCTGTCGTATTGGTTTGATATGAATTTTATAAAGGATTTTATAAAATTGAAGCTGGTTTTTCCATTATATTAAAAATTATTATATTAAAAATGCGATTGACATCTAAACATGTAATGCATAAATAATTAACGGGAATTTAATGAAATCATTAAATTTTCATTTATTTACAACTTTACAAACTTTGTCATTTATTAACAGGTTTTACGATTATGATATTTCGTATTCTCGTATTTATTGTTTAACTCTATTTATGAGTGTTTATATGAAAATATCATTTTTTGTTTTAATAAATATTAATTATTAATTCTTTGTATAATTACCAGTACACATACAAATGACAAAAATTACCATAACTTTTATTGTGTGAAATAGCTGGCGTTAAACAAAGATAAATTTGCATGTACCGACGGCTACAGTTTCTTTATGTTTTAATTAAACTTCTAGTTCACCGCTAGCGTACGTAACTTTGTTAGCAAGTGAGTACTTGCACTCGAAAGAAAATCGCCTTTGTTTATAAGTCTCGTAGTGAAAGCAGGAAACGATTATGCAAGCTGTATCATCGATGTAATTACATTTACGTGCCTGTTGGCTCATAGTGTCGTTGGACGTTCTCGTCGTATCCAAATTATGCGTTTACTAGTCACCCGCCCTGGCTTCGCACGGGTGCAATATTTGTTTGTGTAGCTTTTACACTGTTCAACACATTTTAGTAAGGTTGGTATTTTGGCGTGTGTGATAGAACTGCATTAAGATTTTTTATGATTTTAAAATGAACGGGAGGGAGACTTTGTACAAAAGTCGATTGCTTGAGTACCTCTTACCCATTCGTGTTTCAACCGTAAAGCAGTTGTGTTTGCATGGTTGTGTTTCGGTTTGAAGGGTGGGATATGGCGTACATACATGGTACATACAGGGTACAGAGGAATAACACCTGAGTCCTCAAGAATGGCAACGCATGGGGGTATCATGGGCGAAACAGTATACTCTGTTATATCCATGGTACTGCTCATGTCTATAGGCGACGGTTACCACTTTACATCAGGTGGGCCGTCAGCTTATTTGCCATTCTAAGTTATATATATATATATATAAAAAAATATTTTACTTTTATCATAAAAAACATATTTTTGGATGAGATATTAAATTTAGGTATCGCGATTTTTCTGTAGAACTAAAAGTAATAAATATTTCTGCTATAGACTTTATTCATTTATTTTAAACCGTTCAGGCAACGCATGTCATATTATATAATTTTTGTCGACTTCAATTACATTTATTGTGATTAATTATTAAAAATATATAAAAAAGTAGTCTATAGGACTCAGGGATAATATACCTTACCAACAGTGAAAGAATTTTGAAAATTGAATCAGTAGGACGGAGATTACTCCAAACTTCCAAACTTACAAACTTTACCTCTTTATTAAGTATAAGCACAGAAGTATAGATTACAATAGAAACAGCGGGTTCACCATGAAATGAAATTCCGAAATTTCGGACTGAATGTCGTGTTTTTGTTTATACCAAAATTGGATCAGTAAATGGAGTTTAACATTTCGTTCGTCATACATTTTATAATAAAAGTCCAAAGGAACAATGTTTTAACATTTTTAATATTACCAAACGGCATGTATTATGTAATTTTAACATCAAATTTGTGTTTAGTTTGGCTCCGAAATTTCGGAAAACATTTCATGGTAGACCCTCAGAATATAGTCCTAGGTATGCCTCCGGCTGTTACTATTTTCATAGAATACAAGGTAATGGTAACGTAGCCTGTGATGTTGGTATTAGCTGACTGTGACTATTGAGGGATGATCATCATTATACATAGGTCTCTCTTATAGACTGCCATAAGGAATGGTCCCAGGCCACCTGCATACACTGAGGTGTGATAGAGGAATCTCACTGAATCTCTGCAATGAATTTGAGGTCGTCACTCCATCTAGTATGGGGTTGGTGGGAGCAAGGGAGTAATGGAGACTAAAGGCTTCATTGCTAGCAACCCCACGTGGTCCCCCTGGAAACCATCGTGTTGAATTCCAGGTGTATCCATCACGATGGGTTAACTAACCTGTCTCTTCATCCTCACCCATCATCCCTCACTGGTGCTCCGCCAGTGTATACCGTTAGCGCGGGCGGCGTTTACCATTCCATTGTCATCCATTAAAAAAAAGTAGGAGTTTGTCCTACACTACGTCACGTCGCCACTCAAGTAACTTTCTTTCCTAACAGTTGTCGTTTCTTCGATCTATGTAACCAGCTTATTGCCACATTTTTATTTATTAAAAGAGTTTAATTACGCAAGTATTATAACTACCTTATACTATTACGTATTATTACTATTGAGAAGGTTGCTAGAAGACTGATGATAGATGGTTCACATGTCGCAATATCATTTATTATATTCGTATAAAGCACAGACACCAGTAAGTTATGTGCCCAGGTATTGTAGTCACCATCATCTATCATTTTACTCTTTGATCGAGGCATTTTATATTTTGCTAACAATAGTTAGAGTTCACCTAAGTAATTTAGTATATATTTTAAAGTTTTATTTATCTAAAATTTAAGACATTTTTTTTTAGATTTTGCTATGTACTAAATGGACTTTAATCATAACAAAATTTATGAGAATCGGAATAAATCCTATCGATTGAGAAAAGAATTATTAAAATCGGTTCAGAATAGATAAAGATATTGCATATAATATTTAGAGATTGCATTCTACAAAAAAAAAAACGAGTTTAATTATGAAAAAAAAAGTTGTTTTGGTTTAAAACAAATTACTGAACTGATTTTAATAAATATTCCATTGTATCTGTATCTGTAAGTATATTCTTTTACATAAAAAAAAAGAATTTCTCAAATCGATTAAGAACTGATTGAGTTATGAGGTAATAAATATAAAAAAAATTACAACTGAATCGAGAACCTCCTTCTTTTTAAAGTCGGTTGAAAATACAGTTAAATTGAAAAAATAATAGGTACATTCTTAACTTACTTTAGACGGCTTTACGAAGATTACACTAATACAAATACAAGATTTCATCCTTTTCCGAGGTCGTTTAACTGCTTTTTTACCTAATCAAAGCATGTAGGTACCCTAAATCAATGTTTGTGGCATTTTCAATCGCCGTGTAAAAGGTCAATGTATTTAAATGACATCCCACATTGGTTAGTGTGGCCATATAACAAAATTATTGTAGGTAGGTGGTGTGTGTAGGTGATCCTTTTAGATGTATATGGAATTGTTAATACCTTACTTGGTTTAGTGGCCTTTATTTTTGCATATTTTAACGGTGTAATATAGGTATTTAAATAATTAGGTTGGGGCGAAAGGGTTTGTTAGCAATGGAGTTTGACAGCCCTATTGCTAGCAATGTGCCCTATTAGATCGACCTCCACGTGGTTTTCCTGGAAACTATCGTGAACAATTCTTGTTGAATTCTTCACGACTGGCTAACTGACCTGCTTCATCCTCACCTATCATCCTTCACTGGTGTCCCGCCGGTGTATACCGTTAGCGCGGGTGGGGTTATCATGTCATTATTACCCATAAAAAAATAATTATTATTATGTTGCTGCGTAAACATCGTTAACATTAGAAAAAACACGCTTGCATTAAGGGTTTCCTTGCATGTAAACGCAGTGTAGGGCGATCCCTACTAAATCATTAATATGACTGAAGTGATAAGTTATCGATGACCAACCGTTAATAGATGGGTAATAATAATAATAAAATAATAATTTGCAATAAATTAAAAAATGAATAAAAAACGTAAATAAATATGAAGTCCATGAACTTTGAAACAGATATGATAAACGGAAAATCTATGTTTCTAAATATTGTGTGTTACATTTATAATTAAACCAATTAATATGAAACGGAGTAGTAATAAAATATATATAAGTATAACAAAGTTACAAAAGAACCTACAGTTTTAATAAAACAAATAATAATTAGTATTATAAAATTTAATTCTCTAATTTCCAGTTGTGCTATATTTATTTGCTTAATCCATTAAAACCCTTCAATAAGTCTTTTGTTACGAGCGTTAGTTACAAATCCATACAATGATTTTTTCGTTTGAATAATAAATTCGTAACACGGAACGAGTAAAGACTAAGTGATGCTATGTTACGTCATTCAGTTCAGTCAATCTGTCAAATAACGACAACAGCTGAGCTGTGAGTAGATTGTCAAATTTGTCAATACGTACGGCAAGTGAATAGCAAACACGTCAGTATTTTGTAATAAATTAATCAATTATTTGCGAATACGTTTAATTTTATTATTATTACTAGTGTAATATCCTAAAAGTGAATATTTTGATTCGTATAAATCGGCTGATATTGTTTAAGATCAGATCTTTTATGTGCTAAAATATAAAGTACGCTCTCGTTGACTTTTTCGTAATATATCCTCGTATTTTTTTCTGAAAAAATAAGGATTTGTGAATTAAATATTGTTTTATCTTAGTGAATTTAATTAAATACTGGGATTTCAGGTGTGTAACAACATGATAAAGGAAAACAAACTGCTATTACACATTACTGTAGTGGTAGCCGCATTGTCTGTCGGTCTATGTAATGTACAGCCTCCTGTAGTCAATCCGAGTGTCCTGACGCAGTCGAAAAGCCTCGGAGAGTGTCAGGCTTGCAAGTTGTTCATCGACTCATTCAAGAATGGCCTTGAACGAACTGCTAGAGGGAAATACGAGGGCGGCGATGCTGCGTGGGAGGAGGAAAAGCTGAAGAAGTCCTACAAACGCAGTGAGATGCGCCTGATCGATATACAAGAGAGTATCTGTAAGGAGTCCAAGCACTCTGTTCAGTGTCACCACATGGCTGAGAAAGCTGAAGAATTTATAGAGGAATGGTGGTCTCAAAATCCAGATGAGTCTGAAGACTTGTACACTTATATATGTATAGAGAAAATGCAGGTGTGTTGCCCTAAATTTCACTATGGGAAAGACTGCACCCCATGTCCAGGAGATCACGAGAAATTATGCAGTGGTAATGGGAAATGTAGGGGTGATGGAACCCGAAAAGGAAATGGCACATGCCTATGTGATGCAGGCTATACAGGGGTGAACTGTGATCAGTGTGCTTCTGGATATTATTTAGCATACAAAGATGATAGTAAGATGTTATGTTCTCTATGCCACAAGTCGTGTATGGGTGGCTGCCGTCAAGGTACACAGAAGGATTGTGTTGCTTGTAAGCCTGGCTTTATATTCGATTCAGATGAAGGCTGTTTAGATATCAATGAATGTGATGAGCCAAACAAATGTACAAAGGATCAATTTTGCCTGAACTCGATCGGTTCATTTGCATGTATGAATTGTGATAAATCCTGTAACGGTTGCCATGGCGATGGGCCAGATATGTGCAGGAAATGTGCGAAAGGCTACTCTAAGAAAGGAGAGTTCTGTATAGCAGATCGTGAAGACGAGGACCAATCTGAGAAGCTGACAACAACACGGTAATTTGTTTGTATTTAATACTTATTTTGTTTTGAAACCTATAATGTATTTATTGATGATGTTGATGATGGTTTCTTACAGAGGTGAAGAGCTGTAAAATCCAGTTTAAAATGCGGGTTATAGAATGATTTAGGTAAAATGATATTTTATTACTGGTGCTGGGGTATTAATAGTTTTCTAATGATTAAATAAGTATAATTAATATAACCATTCTTTATACTTGTTTAATCATGTGCAATATAGTTTTAGAACTTTTTAGTTTACAAGGTAACAGTGGTGGACTAATGGGGAAGTGGAAGGGGCGGCATGCCCTAAGCCTCTTGTCCTGAGAGCGTCCATTTTCCTCATCCATATTAATATTCTATATATGTTTATTTAAATCTAATGTAAATTTCACTTGCAAGATTTTAATCAAATAGACATAAATACTTATATATAGAAATGTGAATTGTTTAAAATGCTTGTAAATTTATATTACCTGGGGAAGATATTCTGCTTGCTGCCCTGGGGCTCAGATGGACTAGTCCACCATTGTAAGATAATATATTGTTTTTAAATATATTTTTTTTGCAAAATTACTTTAGAATCACTTATAACTATGCCTAACAGATTAGCTTTATTACACTGTTAAATATGTGTATTTTACTGTCATAAATACTAGATGTATAGATAAATGAGAAATGGTTTTATTAAACCATACTTAATATATAGATTAATTGTGATTTTTTTATTGATATTGAAAGTGAATCAATTTATCTAAACTAACTTTTTAAAATATGAATATTAAGATTTTATTTTTTAAAAACTATTTATGTAAATTTGATAATGATTGACTGGGTCTTAATAAAGGCACAAATTATATTTCAAGGGCTAGGTTTTTTATTTTTTTTATTTAATGTTATTATAAATACATGTTGAGTCGAGAACTGTGATTTATATATTAATAAAGAATTTATATTATACAAATGACAGTGTAATAGATGTATAAGAAATATACTAACAACATTGCTAGGTGATGGTATAAATTTTTCTTTTGCTTATTTTTCTAATAAGATAATTATATTTTAAGGTACATGACCTATGTGGGTTTGCTTATTGCCACTGGAATACTGCTGCCGAAATCTACCTCCCTGGGAAGCTTGGTCGGTGCAATGGTCCTGTCATACATTGTTGGTGCTGAATATTACTGCATGATAAACGGCCACACAGGCCTCGTTAATCTGAAAGACTTTGATTTGATACAATTATTTCGTACCTAAAATGTAACTGTAATTGTACCAATAGTACTAAGTTGTAAATTATATGATAATAAATTATTATTTATAATGACAATTATGTGATATTTTCTGCATACATTTGGTTGAATGTTAAGTATTAAGTTTTGTGTTTATGTGATATTAAAATATGTGAAATAGTTTTATGTTTATGTATTAACCATTTTTTCATATTGAAAACGATAAATATAATCCTACTACACATAAAAAAAAAAAATTTGGATTGAATCAGTTTGAATAACAAATATTTTTTTTTTACAACACGGGGCAAACGGGCATGCGGCTCACCTGATGGTAAGTGACTACCGCCGCCCATGATCACCCACAACACCAGCGGCATTGCAGGTGTGCTGCTGGCCTTTTAAAAAGTGTAAAATATTCAGTGTTTTGTTTCTTTGTTGCAAGTTATAACTAATAATATTAATATTTATTGTAAATAAGGGGTTTACTTGGTTTTGTAATTTATTAAATTTATTCTTTATAGTACTCGGAAATGCAGTAATAATTATAGTTCGAGACTGGTGAACTTATGTTTAAATGAGATCTCTTTCGGTCAACAGTAACTAACTACATCTTCACTTCGTATTGTGAATCGTTTTTTTATAAATAATATTTATTTAATCAGACAACATAAGGCCCATTTTGTTAGTTATAAATTGATTTAACCTATGTTAGTAAATGAGCGGTCAGAACGCTCTAACCTAATAACCTGTCCCACCTAATATTTTAGGATGGGACAGTCCATAAATGTTAGTCTCATGCTAATTTAGTCGAAATTTATTGTACTTATAAAAAAAAAGTCATAGACACCTAAACATCTAACTTTCTACATCTAAATCATAGACTAGAAGGCGATATATTCTTGTCATACTGGTGTGTAATGAGATTGTGTTATTACGTACATGTTTAAACGTAAAGAAGTTCATGCCTCATAAAATTTTGGCATTTGTATACAATGCAAAATGCAATGCACATGTACTTAATTTAAATATTGTGACAAGTTTTTTTTTTTTAATTTATTTATTAGATGAGTAATAAAATAGATAATTGTTTTAAAAACATAAGAGCTCTTTTTAATTAAATCAGTCATTGTATTATAAGTAGAATTAGCAAGTAAGTGAAAGTGAAACTTATTTTATACTCGGACGTGCATACTGTTGTGATCGTATCATTATAATTTTCTAATTGAATCAAATTCAAATTTAATTTTTTTTTTAATCACGCAACAAACACTATTGTTGCGTGTATTTGTCCTACTTAACTGTTAGAATATGCTTTTCATATTTGTAATATTTATTAGGTACGAATAATAAATATTTTTTTTTTATAGAAAAAAGTATTAATTTAATATGAATGAGTTTGAATATTTTTTGACAGGTGAAAATGAAGTGGTAACCCCATCTGCATTATAGGTAACACTGGCGGGGTAGAGTGAATCTAGTGGTGGTATGCTATCATGGATATCGAAATAGACTGTGATGCCTATGTTACTCTTCATTTTGACATTCCTGGTTTTTGTCTACGTACACTGTAATGTTTTTTTAATAGGTGAAAATGGAATGTTAACTCCGCCCGCTATCGGTATTCACCGACAAGGCACCAATATAAGATGATAGGTGAGAATTAATTCTAGTCAGTTGGCTCACTATGATGAATCCGACAAGAATTAACCAAGATAGAACCGCGTGGAGTCGACCTGAGAGGGTATATACCCTCTGCTAGCAATGGGGCTATTTACTAACAATCGTTTTCCCCCCGTACACTGTAATTACAATGCCATAATCTAATGAAAATTGTAAAAAAAAAAGACTCCATCCGGCATGGCCCTGCGGAGAATGCACAGCTTTGACAATGTCATATCGAAGACTGAATAGAGAGCAAGATATATATTTGTGTAACAATATTCAAATGAAGTCACGCTTGTCAGTAGGCGATTATGTCGCGACCATGACATGCTTAGGTGTCGTACCGGCCGCGCTGGTTCTGTAGCGATGTAGTTTTAGAAAAAAATGATTTAAAAAGTAACGAGTGAAACTAAAATAGAGATAAAAAACTTTACTTTTATGAACGTAAACGGCTGATAAAATGGTGTAAAAAATAAACCCTTAATATAACAAGTAAATTTTGTTCTACAAAAAAAAACATCAAATTTCAATCGTGTCTGGCCAGTTATTTTGATTTAAAAACGAAACTATCGAACCGATTTTAATGGAATTTCTATGGGATCAATCTTCAAAAATATCCTTTTAGATAAAAAATCCATTATAATGTATAATTGACTGGGTTCTGAGGTTAGAAACATAATTAGGAAAAAATAACCGAATTGATAATTTCTCTTTTTTTCTTCGACAATACCGCCTTTTGTATCATTTTACCTTAATTATTGTTGTATTCTTTATTATTGCAACAGATGCTATGAAGTGTAAATAAATAAATATGTTTACAATTGGAATTCTTGATGGAGAAGTCTGAGACTTTTGAATGGATGATAATGGAATGGCATCCCCATCTCTAATGGTATACACTGGCGGAGCACCAGTGAGGGATAACAGGTGAGAATGAAAAGGCAGGTCAGCTAGTCTATCGGGATGAATACCCCTGGAATTCACGAAGCATGATGGTTTCCAGAGAAACCACGTGGAAGTCGACCTAACAGGGTGTATTGCTAGCAATAGGAGTGGGAGTACCCATTACTAACAATCATTTGTCAACTATTGCCAGTTGTGGTAATCGTGTGGTAATAGTCTATATGCCCACATTTTTGCCCACTTTCTCCCCAATATTAAGTGGAAAGGAATTGTTAGTAATGGGGATTATTAATAAAACCATTAAATATTTGGATACAGCAATATACCTAATCAGGTCAACTTCCACGCAGTTCCCCCTGGAAACTATCATGATTAATTCCTGATGAATTCATCATGAAGGGCTAACTGACCTGTTTTCCTTTTCATCGATCACCCTTCACTGGTGCCCTGCCAGCGTATACCGTTAGCGCAGGCGGGGTTACCATTCCATTTTCACATATAAAAAAAATTGGATACGTAGATAGGTAGGTACATATGTTTAAACGGACAGCGGTTTTTTTTACTGAATAGTTTCACGTTACGATATTATGATTTGATTAAAGGTTACATAGAGGCGGAACATTGCATGCAGCGGGTTTAATTATGTTGTTATTGATGGTATCTTGTGGCCGTGATCGTATGCGCAGAGCTATAGATTATAATGCAGAGGTTATGTCATCGTCACACTGATTGCAGATTCAATGTGACCTTTAAATTTTAAACAATTTCTCACGGCTATTATTTGTTGTCCATTGAAGAAGGTGTATATATATCCTGTAGTGGATGATCAAAGGCTGAAACAGAGAGTGTGGGCTTTTTATGAGAGAGTGAGAGATTTTAAAAAAATAGTAAGAGTAAGTTTTTAAGTAATTGGAAGTAAGAGAGAGAGAGAGATTTTTTAAGAAAGAGAGATTTTTTAAGAAAGAGAGATTTTTAAGAAAGAGATTTTTTAAGAAAGAGAGATTTTTTAAGAAAGAGAGATTAAGAAAGTGGGATGTTTTTTTAATAGATGTAAATGGAATGCTGTCTCGTTACGCTATCCGTATACGTTGACGGGGCACCAGTGAGGGATTAAAAGTAAGGATGGGGACAGGTCAGTTAATTTGGCTAGTTGGAGACCCTTAAAAGTTATATACAGACGAACTACAAGTATATCGCCCGTCTGATGATAAAATAATTTTGCAAGTACCAGGTAATAACTCACATAAGCATTGTTGAACTTTGAAAAAATTAATGTTAATTTTATAACCGCTTCTATGGATAACAACAATTAATTCTAATAATAATATCTTTATTTAAATAGACTTGTTTACAAACATTTTTTAATCCACATTTTTTTTAATCTACTGCAGGGTTTGGAAGATTGTTATCTGTCGAGAAAAGCCCGCAAGGAACTCAACAGTTACTTTTGTAAATCTCTGTTAACATAACGATTTACACCATGCATGATTGTCATTACCCACTGACCAAGTACTTTTAAAAAAATCTTGTAATGGCAAATGTTGCCAGCATTTACGACTTAAACTGAACATTTGTAATGAAATTAAAATCCGTTTTGTATATATAAACATTCATAAATTTTTTTTGCTTTGCATTCATTCAATACCAATAACTTTATTCAATAGGTGGGTAAGTACATTAATATCTCACACTTCCAATGGCGTGCGATATGAATGCACTCAAGTCGGCATCAAAGAATGAATAACACGGAAACTGAACGCGATCCTGTGATATGAAATGAATTTATTGAATGAATGTTATGAACAACCCTATTCAATGTTATAAAATATATTTAGTGATGTTTAAATAAAAAAAAAAGTTATTTTATTTATATTTTATATTCTTTTACTGTTGTACCTATTTGTAATATTTTCTAGTAAGGTTATAGGAGCGGCGTGAATGAATATAAGTATTAAATATATATCAGTGCGCCACCTACCCTTTGTCTTTCTTTCTTTTCTCGATCTCCTCCACACAAAGGTCGTCTGGAAGAGATTGCTTAGCGATAAGGCCGCCTTTTGTAACATTTCTCATTACAATTAAATGTATTTACTATTTTATAAATGGTGCAATTAAGTGTAAAATAAATAAATAAATATTAAGATTTTGTTCCGCAAAAAAACACCGATTTCAATAATGGCAACACCAGTCTATTTGATTTTAAAATTTTTTGAATTTATTTTGATATAATTTCGAAGGGATCAATCTGAAAGTATACCTACTTATCGTTTTAGATAAAAAAAGGATTTTCCAAATCGATTTATAAATGAAGGACTTATGAGGTAACAAACTTAAAAAAAAAATACAACCGAATTGAGAGTTTTCTGTTTATTTATTCACGCTTTATTACACCACTAATAATAATACAAATGTATACTTATGAAGTACAAAAGGTGATCATATCGTTAAAGCAATCTCTTACAAACAACCTTTGGGTAGTAGTTTATATCTTTTTCCGTTTAATATAGTACATGTATACTAAATTCCATAGTGATTTCTTAAACCGTTATGGTGTTAAGAAGTAATAAAAGAACTCACTTTTACATTTATAATATTAAGTAAGGGCTTTTTAGCATCGACGGCAGGCTTGGGGCTAAATCGAGAAAACCTGTTCTATTTTCTTGACAAACTTTTAATTGCCAGTAATAACGGCCGTAACTCAAGAATATTTACCCATTGCGTGCTTCGACCGATTTGTCGAGGACTGGCTGACTAGCCTTAATTCCTTTGCCTCAGAGTAATTAAATTACCCTGTGAAGAGCATTGCACTATCGATTTATATCGATATCAAATTGTTGTAACTAAATGTTTTTGTATCTAAAGATATACAACAAACTAAAGTGGTAAGAATAAGTTTTTTAAATTAGGCAAATTTTTCACTGTAATATTACAACATTATTTAAAAATAGTATTTGCCGATCACAGATGCGCACTAAGCCGCTCAATCGCAATGTTCTCTTTTCAAAAGTATGTTATTTTTTTTTTATTATTTGTATTTTTATTAAGAATCAAAGACCAAAAATAAGAGGTTTTAAACTCAGAAGTCTTAT